CTCCTGAGGAGGAAACCTGTCCTGCTTCTGGATTTCACCTCCTGAGGAAAAAACCTGCTGAGTTTTCCCCCTCACAGACATCTTTACTCACAAAAAGGAGAATGGAAGAGCATCTCCCTCCTGCACCAAGTTTTCCCCCTCACAGGTACTTTTATTCCCTGCCCTTTTCCCCTCATGGGCACCTTTATTCTGCATGAAGGGAATGGAAAAACATCTCCCTCATACACTGAGTATTTCCCTCACACGCATCTTTATTCTCCTAAGAGGAGTGGAGAATCTCTCTCCCTTGCCAAGTTTTCCCCTCACGGGCACCTTTATTCCCCAAGAAGGGAACGGGAGAGCATCTCCCTCCTGTGCCGAGTTTTTTCCCCTCACAGGTACATTTATTCCCCTAAGGGCAGTGAAAAAGCATCTCCTTCCCGCCCTTTCCCCCTCACAGCTACCTTTATTCCCTATGAAGGGAATGGAAGAGCATTTCCCTCCCTCCCGCACTTTTCCCCTCACAGGCACCTTTATTCTCCTGAGGGAGATGGAGAATATCCCTCCCGCGACGAGTTTTTTCCTTCACGGGCACCTTTATTCCCTATGAAGGTAATGGAAGATCATCTCACTCCCTCCCGCACTTTTATCCTCGCAGGCACCTTTATTCTCCTGAGGGAAATGGAGAACATCCCTCCCTCGCTGACTTTTTCCTTCACAGGCATCTTTATTCCCCATGGGGGGAATGGAAGAGCATTTCCCTCCCTCCCGCACTGTTCACCTCACAGGCACCTTTATTCTCCTGAGGGAGATGGAGAAATATCCCTCCCGCGACGAGCTTTTCCCTTCACGGGCACCTTTATTCCCCTTTGGGGAATGAAAGAGCATCGTCCCTGCGGGGCACGTTTATTCCCAGGGAATGGGCGGAGGAGCCTTTCCCTGCGGGGCACGTTTATTCCCCGGGAGATGGGCGGAGGAGCCTGCCGGTCGCTCTCCGCGGAGGCTCTGAGGGCTCGGGGCTCTCGGGGCTCTGAGGGTTGGGGACACTCTGAGGGCTCGGGGCTCTCGGGGCTCTGAGGGTTGGGGACACTCTGAGGGTTGGGGACACCGTGAGAGGTTTGAGGGGTTTGGTCTCTCGTGGCTCTGAGGGCTCCGGGCTCTACCCGCAGCCGCATCGCGCGCGCGCGCCGGGCGCGCGTCCTGCAGCGGTTCCCCCCGGCCCCGCCCCTCTCTAATCGCGCCGCCATCCCCGCGCGGCGGCGGCGGAGGGATACGCGGCTGCGGGCGGAGGGATCCACACGCTGGAGCCGCCCCGGGCAGGGAGAGCGGGCTGAGGGAGGGAAGGAGGGAGGGGAGCGGGGCGAGGAGGGGGCGAGCGATGCGGCGCGGCCGCGCGGGCTGAGGCGAGGCAGCCCCGCTGCGGGCACGACGGCGGTGGGCGGCGGAGCTGGTGCCGCGGAGGCGGCGGGAGAACAGCTGGGGAGGGGTCCGGGGGGCTCCGGCCGCGGCGAGGGGAGAGCGGAGCCTGAGGGGAGGCGGCCGGCGCGGGGGAAGGGCGAGGCTGCGGGGCCGGGCGGCGTGTGCCGGTCCTGCCGCGCTCCGGAGGCGCAGTTTAGTGGAAAAGGGGAAGGGGGTAGAAAAGGGAAGCGGTTTAAAATAGCCCCCGGTCGCTCCGGGGGGTGGCTCCCGGTCCGTGCCGTGGCGGGGGGGCAGCGGGGCTCTGGTGCAGCCGCAGCCCGGGGGGCTCGGCCGTGAGAGGGGCGGGCGGCTCTGCCCTCGCTGCTCCCCTCGCCCGCCCGCCCTCCCTCGGGGCTTTTTTTGTGTGTGGGGAACGGGCAGGATGAGCTTGCGGAGTTTTGCTGGAATTTCTCCTTCCTTTCTGAGGCGCTGCCGCTGCTGAAGCAGATTTTCCCCTTCCTCTCTTTTTTTTTTTTTTTTTTTTTTGTCTGATGCAGAATCCCAGTAGCTAGGCAGCCTCCCTCTTTTCTTTCCTGCCTTCCTTCCTTCCACCCCTCCGCTATGTAGGGAGGGACGGGCATCAATGGAAAGGCTGAAATGCGCGTAGATGGACTTGCAGATGCATTTTTTCACGAAAGAGGAGGATAAATCCCGCTTGCCCCCGCACTGACTTTTTTTATTGCTGTTGCATCGCCTGGAAAAATGGGGTTCGCTCGCTCCTGCTGAATCCTCGGAGCATTCCAGAGAGTTTGCTGCAGTGAAGGACTTCTCTAATTTTTTTTGCGTCGGAGGAGCTGCATTGATGTTACGCGTTTTTTTTGTAAAATGGAGAACGAGATCTTCACACCCCTTCTGGAGCAGTTCATGTCGAGCCCTCTCGTCACCTGGGTAAGCGTTCATTTTGCCTTCCCCCCCCCCCCCCACCCCGTTACTCCTTTTATTTGCTCATTGTTCGACGAGAAGTGCCTTGCGGCAGGAGAGCGAGGTGGAGTTAATGTCAGGGTGGTGGTGGTGATGATGAGCATTATGTTTTAGGTTAAGACATTCGGACCGTTAGCCGGAGGAAATGGGACCAACCTGGAGGAATATGTGGCGCTGGTGGATGGAGTGTATCTGAACGAAGTCATGCTGCAAATGTGAGTGTGGGCAGGCGCTGCCTCAGGGTTATTTCTTTTTTTTTTTTTTTTTTTTTTTTTGCCGTTCGATTTCTCCTGTATTTTTGCTTCCTTGTGAAAAATCCTTTCCTTCCCTCCCCGTGTTGACCTTGGGGAAATTTTTCTTTTGTGGTGAGTGAAGAGGAGGCTTGGGAGCCTGGCAGATGCCGTGCAATGTCCGAGGGATGTATTTGCAGGATGTATAGTGTGCTACAGGCTGAATCACGGCTGGAGAATTTACTGGAAAACGGGATGACTGTGAATACTTTCCCAGATTTCCACTGAGAGGAGTAAGGATTCATTCTACTGTTAAGTCCTGCTCATAACCAAGAATGTGAATAAATTTGCTTGGCTGATAAGATTCTAATCCATATCTTGGTTCATGTGACTTACAACTTGAGGATGGCATGCCAGTCACACAGTGCTCACTGAGCAAATGGACTGGCCTTTAACTCCTTCCTCTTTATTTTCCACGCTTCCAAATCAGAGTGGATAGCAGCTGAGCTGATATTTTGAGAGTAGAGAGTGTATTCCGGGTGCAGACCACACAAGAACCATTTTTACAGGGGTTTGTAAACCGTTCATTGGAGAACTCTGATTGTTAGAGGGATTTCTTGACAGTGGTTTTTTTGTTAATCATCATTTTGACTGGAATGTTGCCCACTACTGTAGTGCTGGAGAGTAACACTTCTGTCAGGTGTCTGGGGATAGACTCATAAAAGTGTTACTAGTGCAAAAATTTCTACTTTTTTTTTTGATATTTTAGGTCTTCACAGAGAAATAAGCCTTTTGTTTGTACAGGTATGGAAAACTAGGCTTGTGGCTGGAAACTGGGTACATCAGTGCACGAGCAGCTTGTGTTGGCAGCTGTTCCTCAGGAACACTGCTCAGGGATGGGCATCCTCTTACTCTGTAGTTTTTTATTCATATTTAGGACTTTAAAAGTTCGTGCAGTTGGTGTTCAGTTGGTATTCACATCTTTTTCCAACCACAGTTTTCTTTGTCACCTACCTCTGCTCAACCAAAATTCCAAGTATTCACTTAAAATATTCCCTCTAGTGTTGAGAAACATGGAAAACTTGGTGGAATTGAACTTTCTGGGAAAAAAAAACCCAAACAAACCTGAGTCCATTGTGGTGCATTATTCTTATTTTACAATTTCTTTTTTTCCTTGGGCTACATGTGAATGAAATGTCTTGTCAGCTACATCCATGCATTTAACATGTAGAGCTTCTACTTGGTAAAGAAGTTTGACTCAGGGAAGGCAAATTTAGCACTGGAACAAGGTGATTCTGAAGAATATAGTCCTGGAGTTAAACTTTATCAGGAGTTTTTTTAACAGTGAGTATAAATTGATACCTGGCACGTGCTTGTAAAGTGGAAAACTGTTGGGAAGGAACATTCCCGTGCCTAAGGCACCGTGTGTTGAGTTTGGCTTTGACTTTGTGCATCTTTGACCCCATGCCATGATTGCTGGAGTTTGCTCAGGAGGTGCTGGGTGTGGAGGTATAAAAAAACCCACACACTGGAGATGTAAATTGGAAATAGTTTGGTAAGTCAGAACAGTTAAAAACTACCTGAAACTAGAGGTGAACGTAAAAGGGTCGGTGTACAAATGAAATTAATTTTAGAAATATGTACCCACACTGGAAGGTGTGTTTTACTTTAAATACATTATTTGGGAGGTGAGGTTGGTTACTGCTCAGAATTGCCTTTCATGACTGTGTTCATATTTTGGGAGGGTTCAGTTTGTTTTGGGTTTTGTGCCAGGACTGAAAGAGGGGAAAAAGTGTTTCATGTTTTGCAGACTGAGTCTGTCAGTGGTGAAGTCACTGTGGAAAGCTGTGTTCACCTCCAGTCCTGTTCACCTTGAACATCCACTTATTGAGCACACATCTTCCTTTGCAAAAGCCTCTCAAAGAGGCAGCCCCAACCAACCATCAACAGAACTTATTTCCAGTGTTTGCCATTTTTATTTCTTTTATTTTCCTTTCATTCTTAACTACCACGTGTTGAAGAAATGTGGCAGAAAAGTTTGTGTCACGTGACTTCAAAAGAGAGGTGTTTTTCGTGAGAATGTTGGGATTGGAGGTTTTGTTGTTGGTTGGTTGGTTTGGTTTGGGTTTTTTTTTTTTAAAGCTCTCAGTGACTTCCCACGAGAACAAGCTCTGTGGTGAGGAGCTCTGGCAGTGGAGGCTGTCAGAGGTGCTGTGCTCCTGCTCCCTGTATACTTTAATACTTAACTGTGTTCTTGCCAAATGTTGGAAACCCCAATTCTGTGACCCTAGAAGTGAGTGTTAATATTGGATTAGGCATGGTTTGCAAACAGTGACACAGTCAAAAAAAAAAAAAAAAAAAGTGGCTTTGTTAGTTAGGGAAGGTTTTTAATTCGGTCAGAAAAGAGTTAATCCTGCCCTCCATCAGCTACCAGGGAGAGTTTGTCAGGACAGGATTTGTTTCTCCTTGTGCTTGTCTGGATCAACTTTATTTCCCACAATTGTAGTGATTCAGAGGAAATAGGTGTGAGCACTGGAGTAGTTGCAGGATGCTGATGGGACTGAGGCTGCAGGGTCTGTCAGCACTGGGTTTGTTAGTACCTCATGCATGAGAGGGGAAAATTCATTGCATTCCTTGTCTGCCTTTTGACTTTGGCTTTTTGGACACTTCTGAACCTGTGAAAATTGCACAGATTCCATTCGGTGTCCAGTTACATCTGAAGAGCTCTTCCTTTGTTGGAGATGCTACAGGCTAATTTAATTATTGCTTTTTTTAATTTTGTTTTTAATTAAGGAGAATCCCAGCGTTGCAATATTAGCTCCCGACTTGAGAGAATGCCTCTAATTTCCTGTTTAAATTTAGGCCCAGTTCTTCAGAAGTGTTGGGTTACCTACCTTCTGCTGGGATCAGTCACTATCTGATACTTGGGCACAGAAACCCATCTGTCTTTCTAAATCTGAGCCTTTATCTTTGTGTTCCTTGATACAAAAAGGGGGTCACGCTGCCTGCAAATCAATCAGAGCCCAGAGATCACTGCAGGGCTGCTCTGCCAGGGCAGGGAGGTGGGGGGACACGCCAGGAACCCTTCCTACCTTCCCTGCACCTCTATATCATGATCCTTCTGACATGGGAAAGTTCAAATCTGTTGTGTGCAGTGCTGACATCAGGGAACCACTGTCATTCAGTGGATTAGTCACCTGTTGCACATCTCAGCACAATTGCAGTAAAATAATACTTGCTTGTCCCAGAGGTACTTTTCCAGCACCTGACTGGCATCACCTCAGGGGCTTTTTATAGTCTGAGCATTGTGCTGTTTGTGTTCCTCTGATCCAAAAACATCAAGGTAACTTTACAGAAACACTCGTTTTCTGAGTGCTGTTTAATTCACGTCTTTGATGGGTTCTTGTTCTCTGATATTTCACTGAATTCCAACAGGATTGTGTAAGAAATGCTGGGAGTCTTGTAGTATGAGCTGTGGTTCCCAGACTGACAAGGGTCTTGCTAGTTCCTTTGAATAAAAACAGACAGCTGCAAGTAGTTACAAGATTGGGGCTTTCATTACATTTACCACCACCATTAATATTTGGTCAAGCAACAAAGACTCGAAACTCTATTTTACTTTTTTTTTTTGTTTTATTTTACTGTGCTTTGCAGTTGTGGAAAGAAATCTGGTTTAAAAGGAACTCTTGGACACAGACTGGGTGCAGGGTTGGTAACGTGCAGACCCAAACTCTGAATTAATTTAATCCACTGTCTGGAAAACCTGGCTGCTTGCACCCCAGTGTGCCATTTATAGCTTTGCTCTTAATTCAATCTATTAACCAGGACTTTCCATATCAGTTGCTGCATCCAGACACGCTGAAAGCCGCTTCAAAGGGCGAAATATTTTATCCTCCTCCTGGTTTTTTTCCCCCTTTTGCTGTTCTCCCACTGCTTTTCCCTGGCTGGATTCACTTGCAGGCCTTTCCCACCCCTCAGATTTTCCAGGTGGACGGGCTGAGTGTTTCCTTGCCCGGCTCTGGCGGTGTGTGCCCAGAATGTGGACTGCTGCCCTGGCTGCTCTTCTGAGCTCTCAGTCTTCACTTGTGAGCTTTTTTTCCAAGCCCTGGAGCCTGCCAGCCCATACTTCTGGCTTGCCTATATCTTTCCCTGAAAGCTGGACTCGGTCTCTGGTGCAGCAGCCAGCTGCCTGCTCTGGGAAAGGGAGCAGGAACAGCCACTCCGCTCCAATTAACTCCTTCTTGGGAACACCAGGCAGCAAGAGGCAGGTTCTGGCTGGGTGGGGAAATGGAAAAGAGGGAAATTAAATGGGTGACTTTGGCTGTAGGAGCATCTGTTTTAGGAAAAAAAGGTCAAATATTATGAAGTCTGCACCTTTCTCACTTTGTTGTAGCGAGTGCATTTGATTCCCACTTCTCAGACGTGCTCTGTCTGGTTTCCACAGGTGCAAGGTACATCTCCCTCTCAAAGTCTGGAGTTGTTGCTCTCTCCAGCAGCAGCAGGGCCGAGATTTTTCTTCAGGAGAGATGGATTTCTAACAGTAATTTTTCCTCTATAAACGGGTCCAGCACAATGTGCAGCGCGGTCAGGACTGTTGGGATTAAAACCTTTTGATTACAGAAAAGGAAAACATCATCATCATCATCCTCATGGAACATCTGCCTGCAGTGAGCTCTGAACTGGGCAGATGAGGGGCACGTGGGCTGGTACCTGCACTGCTGAGGGGCTTGATAGGAAAAGGGAAGAAGGTGTGGGTTGAACATGGAATGTTTGAAGTGTCTGATCTTGGCTTATGTTTCACTGGGGGTTTTTTATGCACGTGTACCCTTTTCCACAGTTGATGTCCCCTTTCCTTCCTCCTGGCTGCTCTGACTTATTACTGAGCAGCAAACTCTTCTGTGCTTCGCTCTTGTTCCTGGCAGAATTTTGAAGATTAGGAATTAAATCATCTAATCTTCCTCTACATGTATGCATCCACTTCTTTT